AAAAAATATATATATTTATATATCAATATAATATATAATGAATTTTGATGGCATTAGTCGGTTTTGAAACATGAGATATCTTATGTCGCGAGTTTTAATAATTTAAGAGTTATATAAAAAATATTCGTATATATATATATATATATATTATAATTTTAAATATATATTATATAAAACGCAATCATCAGGTCTGATGATTGCGTTTAGTAAAAGATTTGTTGTCATTTTTTGCGTGTTGACTTTAATTTGCTTGGTACACACACATATATTGTTGTAACCTAGTGAAATTTACTGAATAGGATAATCAAACAAAGGTTGGTAATGGACGATAATACTTGAGGACAAGAATAATATATATAAGATTATATTTATTATATATTTAAGAAGTGAGTCAAGTGAATTTGTCCTTCCGACTGCAGACCAACATACAGTATTCACTATTTTGGGGGATGAAGAGATATCAAATCATTTAAATTTCGAAAGTATCTATCTATCTATCTTTCTATATATATATTCGGACTATTTATATAAAAATAAAATAAATATATATATATATATTAAAATGCCAGATATATATATAATATATATATTAAATCATCATTTTGGATGAGGAGATATCCCCATTTACAATCGACTATCCATGCCAAAATTCAACAGAAACTATTGTTCCATATGTATTTTGTCGACATTTTGAAAAATTACCCAGGTGACCGCTCCAAAAAGAAATTGAACACCTTAAGAATGTTTATCTACCCTCCTGAAGAATGCACAGCGTCTCGTCCAGATTTTCTCGAAACTTCATATCTGCTCAAGGTTTTCGTATCAGAAATGTAAACAAAAATAATTTCTCTGGCATCAATTCATTGTTTTTTATGCGATATTATTTCTTGCTACCTTATCGTATGGTTAGCCGTGTTTGAATAGACGCTCTATTTTTTATCCATTTTTTGTGTATATTACCCAGCAGGACAGAATAGATCTTATAGCCCTATGTGGCAAACAGACTAGGTTTGGTTTATTTTGTTTTTAAAAAATATCAACCTCAATGGCTTAAAGAATGCCGAAAAAATTTTTTGAAATAGATTCGTATGAATAAGAATATGTATTCTTTGGTTTAGATTGGTTTGGTTTATTTTGTTTTAAGGTTAATCAACCTCAATGGGTTATTTAATTTGAAAATTTTTTTGAACATAAATTCGTATGAATAGAATATGTATTCTTTGGTTTAGATTGGTTTGGTTTATTTTGTTTACGGTATATCAACCTCAATGGGTTATTTAATGCCGACAACATTTTTAGGATAGATTCGTATGAATAGAATATGTATTCTTTGGTTTAGATTGGTTTGGTTTATTTTGTTTTAATTTATCATATCAACCTCAATTATATTTAATTCTGACGAAAATTTTTATTGCTGGTGATATTTTGTTTTGTCAAAAAAAAAATTTTTTAATATTTTTTTATCAAAATTGTATTGAAAAAAAAATTTTTAAAAAAAGTATTGCTGGTAATAGTTAATTATTTGCCCTTAGATTGGATCCTAACAGGTTTAGACCCTAGTCAGATTGGTCCTGGGGACACCAAAATAAAATAAAATCTCAAATCCTCAACATATCCTGATCAGAATATTGCTGCTGGATGTTAGTTTAAAAAAAAGAACATTTTCAACAAACAAACTTTAGAAAGAAAAAGGGTTTGGTTTGGTTTGATTTATCAACCACAATGGGTTATTTAATGCCGACAAAATTTTTATTGCTAGTATTATTTTTTTTTTTTTTCAAAAATGAAGAAATCTATAGCTGGTAATATTTTTTTTCAAAAAATGTATAACTCTTCGCATTGATGTTATTTTTTAAATAATGCTGATAATAATTTTTCCTTCCAAAATTATGGCTGGTAATAATTTTTCATTAAATGTATTTCTGGTATTAAAACATATTTTTACACAAGTTTGGGTGTTAACTATTTGCCCATAGCTGGGACCCTAACAGGTGCTACCAAAATAAAGGTCAGGGTGGACCTGGGAATTTAACAATTAAAAAAATGGTTTCATGAATCTCCTTATCTAAAAATCAGACATTTTGTTGGACGTAGTTTATCGTCATCTGAAAGGACGCGGATGTGGTTTATCATCTTACCCAGGATGCGGATATAGTTTATCGTCTTACCCAGGACGGGGGCGTGGTTTATCGTCATAAAGAGGACGCGGACGTGGTTTATCGTCAAAGAACGCGGATGTAATTTATCGTCTTACCCAGGATGCGGATGTAGTTTATCGTCTTACCCAGGACGCGGATGCATTTATCGTCATACTCAAGACGCGGACGTGGTTTTAAATCTTACTATCTTCAAGTAGTTTATCGTCTTAAGAATGACGCGGATGTAATTTATCGTCTTACCCAGGACGCGGATGTAGTTTATCGTCATACCCAGGACGCGGATGTGGTTTATCGTCTTACCCAGGAGGCGGATGTAGTTTATCGTCTTACCCAGGAAAGAAAGAAAACTGGGGTCAATGCAATATGAAAGTGTAAAAATAGTTGTTTTTTTTTAAAATAAAATTAAAATATATATTTTCATAGTTAAAAATATTTATTCCAATAAGGCAGAAAAAAAAAAAAAAAAAAAATGGTTTTAAATAAAATGAAATTTCGTCATTAAATGACCCATAAAGAATGCCGTTAATCATAGAAATTAAGTAATCAATCGTCCTTCTCTCGTCTGTTGTTCCAGCGTTCGATTCGGCACCATGATGCGGTCTTTGGTGGGTTTTGAGGTTAGTAACCCTTCATATAGTGCTTATATGAGCCGACACCCTTTCAGTGATCTTTATAGGCGTCGAAGCATTTAAATTGCCCATATTCCAGCGGTAGACTTAGGTCCAGCATTATTGAAAAGAATGTCGTAGAAATTTACAATAGACCCAGAATAGACTATTGCTACCATATTTAGGATATTGTTGCTCAACACCTTATATTTAATCCTTAACAGATTCTATCACGCAGTCTTGTGGGGAAGATTTATTTTCCACTCTACAACCTCTTTCCAAGAGTTTGCAAAATTGAAAAATCATTTTTTGTTCCCTCAGTTCATTCATTCACTGAAATGAAGTTAAGCAACGTTGAGCCTGTTCAATCCTAGATAGTTGACCGCTTGGGAATACCAGATGGAACCCCCCCCCCAAAAAAAAAACTAAGTCGCTTGACAGTTTCCATTTCTTGGTTACTTTACGAGGTAAGAGTGTTCGGAGAATTTGACACTCACAGGACACACTAAAATCAAAAACGGGTCTCATTGTTGTTTTGTTTTTGCTAGTAAATTTTGTATTAACATTTTTGTGAGAATATTTTTTTCCAGATGCTGAACTTACTATTTAATTCATAGCGGGGGGGGTATAGATTCTTGAGTTACCGAAGTGAATGTAATAGAACTGACTCGAATTCGAACTCTTTTCTCCGAGTTCTCATTCTGAGCAGCTATCTATTACACCACCCGCATATTCAAGGGACAGAGAGAAATACGAGTTTGCGAAAACTGACTGTTTGATTTGTTTTTTACGGCATATCAAACCCTTGCAGGTTAATAAAAAACAACCTGGTAAAATATTTAGACTGCAGAAACTTCTTTGGGAAATAATAATGATTTACTGATACATGTTTTACTAATGAACCCATAGCTGGGAGAAAAGAGGCGGATTCTTTCTATTTGTGTCTAATTGAGTGTAACGAATCCGACTGGAATTAGAACTCGGAAAAAGAAAACAATTCCGAAATTTATCCATTGAACTAGTCGCACATTTTTTTTACAGCAAAAAGTATACCCATCTAGGTAGTGACCAAACTCGACGTTGCTTAACTTTCAACGAGATATAGACGTAACCCTTAGGAGGTCTCAAAAACAGAAGTCGTATAGGATCACGCAAAGAGAAATAAATAAAATTTAAAAAAAAAAATTTTCTCCTGTTCCTTTTCCCCCAACAAAAAAAAAAAACATATATAAGAATATGAGACAAAAAAAAACTGTCTCTTCATCGTTAAAAAAAAAAAAAAAAAGACGGGTGGGGCCGATCCAGCCGCTTCTGCAAGGAAATTATATCCGGGGCTGTAAAATGTATCAACGAGCTGCCAAAAACCGTGTGCGGTGGTGGTGGTGGTGGTGGGGGGTTTTTCTTAACCTTGAAAAGAAAAATTTTTTTCGGTAATATCTCTGCCGACTTTATCCCAACGATGAGTAATTGCATTGACCAACAATCTATGGCAGTCGGAGAGTCGCACGTGCAGACAAGAAAATAAAATTGGAAAAAAAAAAAAAAAAAAAAAAGAAAAAAAAGGAATGAAAAAAATGAAAAAGAAAGTTCTGGATAAGGGGTTAGGCTTGGTGAGGGGAGGGCCAGGGAAAAATGAAAGGAAGGAAAATTCGGAAGAATCCGAATAAGTAAAGGGAAAAAGAAGGAAGGGAACTTGTCGTGGCAAGTTGTGGAAAAATTTGAAGTAGAAGAAGAAGAAGGTTAGTGACTGCAGTCTTTGAAAGAAAGAAAGAAAGAAAGAAAGATGGAAGGAAACATCAAGGATAATTATCTTGGAAAGAAAAAAATGAAAAAGAAAGAAAAGAAAGAAAAGAATAAAGCCGAAGAAAACATATTTATCTGTAAAGAAAGAAAAAAGGAAAAAAAGAAGGATAGATAATTATCTGAAAGAAAGAAAGAAAAAAAGAAAGAAAGAAGGAAGGAAGGCGGGAAGGATAATTATCTTGGAGAAAGAAAGAAAGAGGATAGAAGGATATTTATCTGGAAAGAAAGAAAAAAGAAAGAAAGAAAGAAGGATAAATAATTATCTGAAAGAAAGAAAGAAAGAAAGAAAGAAAGAAAGAAAGAAAGAGGGAAGGAAGGCGGGAAGGATAATTATCTTAGAGAAAGAAAGAAAGAGGAAAGAAGGATATTTATCTGGAAAGAAAGAAAAAAGAAAGAAAGAAAGAAAGAAAGAAAGAGGAAAGAAGGATATTTATCTGGAAAGAAAGAAAAAAGAAAGAAAGAAAGAAAAAAGAAAGAAAGAAAGAAAGAAAGAGGAGAGAAGGATATTTATCTGGAAAGAAAGAAAGAAAGAAAGAAAGAAAGAAAGAAAGAAAGAAAGAAAGAGGAGAGAAGGATATTTATCTGGAAAGAAAGAAAAAAGAAGGATACTTATCTGGGAGAAATAAAAAAAGAAAGAAAGGATCGAAGGATATTTATCTAGAAAGAAAGAAAGAAAGAAAGAAAGAAAGAAAGAAAGAAAGAAAGAAAGAAAGAAGGAATGATATGTATCTGTGAGAAAGAAAGAAAGAAAGAAAGAAAGAAAGAAAGGAGCGAAAGATATTTATCTAGAAAGAAAGAAAGAAAGAAATAAAGAAAGAAAGAAGAAAGGTGGATACGTATACGTGAGAAAGAAAGAAAGAAAGAAAGAAAGAAAGAAAGAAAGAAAGAAAGAAAGAAAGAAGCATCCTTATCCGGTTGGAATAATTGTAAGAACAAAAGGGGGTGGATTATAATTGTAAAGGCCTATTAAAAAAGATTAAGAAGGAAAAAGAGAAGGACAATCAAGTAGAATAAAGAATGGGCAGAAGAAAAAGAAATCGAATAAAATAAGGAGTAGAAAGAAAGTGATGAAAACAGTTAAGAAAGAGAGAAAGAAAAAAGAAAAGAATAAAGAAAGCGTAAGGGAAGACTCAAAAATAAAGAAAGAAACGTGAATACAAAAAAACGGACGAAAGAAAAAGGAAAAATAAAAAGATAAAAAATAAAATAAAAACAATATCCGAAAAGAAATTTGGGCTAAAATGAATACCAGAACTGAAATAGGGCCTTAAAAATAAAATAAAATAAAATAAATACAAAATAAAATAAAATAAAGTAAATAAAATGTAAAAAAAGAAAATAAATATTTAAAATAAAATAAAAAAAAAAATTTAAAAAAATAGCGCAAAGCAAATGTTAGAAAACCTGGGCTGAAAAAAAAAAACCCGTAAATCCCTCAACAAAGAAGCCATATATATCAGATGCGAGTTGAAATGACTCTTTACATGCAGTCAAAATAAATAGACTAAAAAAAAAACAAAAAAAAACACAGTGTAACCCGGATATAAGAGAAACCCGGATATAAGAGAGATTTTCTCTGGTCCCAAATTAGAGCCTGTGTTAATGTATATAAAATAGACCAAACCCGAATATAAGAGAAACCCGGATATATGAGACTTGCTCTCTGGTCCCGGCAACTCTCTTATATCCGGGTTACTGTACTAAAAAAAAGTTATTTTAAAAAAAGAAAAGAAAAAAATAAAATTATAATTTGCTAAAGCTTCATAATTTTTTTTTTATTTAACTTCACCATAAACTTCCTAATAAAAAAAATTTACAGTTGTGGCACAAGGCCAAAAGGGGGAGGAGCACTAAGGCTGGTCATTGCTGCTATCCTATATGTAGCTAATACGATTCTCAAGCCATTCACTCTCTTAAAGATTAACGCTGACCCTTCTCTTTAACAATAGAATGGGCAGAAGATAGACCATAACTTCACATTTATTTTTTATTGAATATTAAATAGAAATATATATATATATATATATATATATATATATATATACAGTGTAACCCGGATATAAGAGACCCGGATATAAGAGAAACCCGATATAAGAGAGATTTTCTGGTCCCTAATTAGAGACTTGTGTTAATGTATATAAATAGACCAAACCTGATATAAGAGAAACCCGGATATAAGAGAGATTTTCTCTGGTCCCTAATTAGAGCCTTGTGTTAATGTATATAAAATAGACCAAACCCGGATATAAGAGAAACCCGGATATAAGAGAGATTTTCTCTGGTCCCAAATTAGAGCCTGTGTTAATGTATATAAAATAGACCAAACCCGGATATAAGAGATTTTCTCTGGTCCCAAATAAGAGCCTTGTGTTAATTGTAATGTAAAATAGACCAAACCGGATATAAGAGAAACCCGGATATAAAAGAGATTTTCTCTGGTCCCAAATTAGAGCCTTGTGTTAATGTATATAAAATAGACCAAACCCGGATATAAGAGAAACCCGGATATATGAGACTTCGTCTCCGGTCCCGACAACTCTCTTATATCCGGGTTACACTGTACTTAGAAACTTTCTACAAATCCGAAAAAAAAAAAACCCCAAGAATTTGGTGGTGCTGTGAAGAACAAACCCCATCAAAGATTAAAAGCCTCTCGTTAAAATCCAGACTTTTCCGAATCTGCTGACCTTACCTTACATCAACCAATTACAGTGTAACCCGGATATAAGAGAGTTGACGGGACCGGAGAAGAAGTATTTTATATCCGGGTTTCTCTTATATCCGGGCTACACTGTATTACCTATTTTCGATCGCTACAAAATGCTTTGATGGCGTTGGTGGGCGAGACTTCCTCTAATAAAAACAAGATACAAGAGTTCACCGAAACCTTTTCATATCAAATCATGCTGAATTTATTTTTGCTTTCATTTCTTTGTTTATTTTCTAATAATTTCATACAAAACAAGGAAATAAAGCTACTAAGACGCAGGTGGGGGAAGCTTAATAGGTATGAAAGAATACAAGACAGTGTATATTTTTGGTGGACACCGTCTAAATAACGTGAGATACGCAGATGACACCGTGTTAATAGCAATCACAGAAAGAAAACAGTATAAACTTCTAGACATGGTCGTAAAAAAAAGGGGGAAGAAAGGACTAACCATCAATTGTGGGAAGACAGAATCTGTAGTCATTAACCAGAGCTAAAAATTGGTGGGGGGGCGTCTAAATCAGAATATCTGAGAAGACAACACCAAAATCGCAAAGTGCGTTGCAGTAGGGAAAGATGCCTTCCAAAAGCTGAACAAAGTATTAAGAAACAAGAAAATTTTAGTGTTTTTTTTTATTTCATCCCAAGGAAGGCAATAAAGCCACTAAGACACAAGGGGTTACTAGGTGTGAAAGAATAAGAAAAAAGAGTAACAGTACTAAGGAGCGAGAGCAATGAAAGTAAATAAGCACTGACATTGTATTTAAATTCTTAAAGATGAAAGTTGGTTGGAAAGCCGGAATATAAGATAAAACACTAGTAAGGTGCGAGACCAATAAAAGAAGAGAATTTAAGAGGTCAAAGGATAAAGATTAACATTGCATTTACATTTTTGAAGACCAAACTTAACTGGAAAGTAAGAAGCCGGAAGAGAGTTCCACAAGCGAGAAGTGCGAGAGAAGAAACTGTTAACATAGAACTTGCGGTTGCATCTACCCATTTCGATTGAATATAAGAAAAACTCTATTAAGAAGCGCGAACAATAAAAGAAGAGAATTTCAGAGGACAGAGGATAAAGATTGACATTTACATTTTTGAAGATCAAAGTCGACTGGAAAGCGAGAAGCCGAAAGCGAGTTCCACAACCGAGAGGTGCGAGAGAAGTAACTGTTAACATAGAACTTGCGGTTGCATCTACCCATTTCGATTGAATATAAGAAAAATACTGTTAAGAAGCGAGAACAATAAAAGAAGAGAATTCAAGAGGACAGATGATAAAGATTGATATAGAATTTACATCTTTGAAGATTAAAGTTGACTGGAAAGCAAGAAGCCAGAAGAGAGTTCCACGAGCGAGAAGAGAGAGAGAGAGAGAGAGAGAGAGAGAGAAGAAACTGTTAGCATAGAACTTGCGGTTACATCTAGCTATTTCGAATGAATATAAGAAAAGCACTCCTAAAATCTGCCTCGTCAGTCATGTATCGAAAGATACATGATCGACTAAGCGTGTATCACGCACGGCACATGACTGATGGAGCGAGATCAATAAAAGTTTAGAAATTAAGAAGACTGAAGATAACGATTGCTATTGCATTTAGGGTTTTGAAGACCAAACTTTACTGGCAACCAAGAAGCCGGAAGAGAGTTCCACAAGCGAGAATTGCGAGAGAAGAAACTGTTAACATAGAACTTGCGGTTGCATCTACCCATTTCGATTGAACCGAAGAAGAACACTATTAAGGAACGAGAACAATAGAAGAAGAGAATTTAAGAGGACAAAGGATAAAGATTGACATTGCATTTACATTTTTAAAGACCGAAGTTGACTGGAAAGCAAGAAACCAGAGGAGAGTTCCACAAGAAAGAAGTGCGAGAGAAGAATCTGTTAGCATAGAACTTACGGTTGCATCTAGCCATTTTCACTGATTCTAAGAAAAAACACTATCAAGGAGCGAGAACAATAAAAGAAGAGAATTTCACAGGACAAAAGATAAAGAGTGATATTGCATTTACATTTTTAAAGATCGAAGTTGACTAGAAAGCAAACAGCTGGAGGTGAGTTCCACAAGCGAGAAGAAACAGCTGGCATAGAACTTGCGGTTACATCTAGCTATTTCGAGTGAATATAGGAAAAACACTCCTAAAATCTGCCTTGTCAGTCATGTATCGAAAGATACATGATCGACTAAGGGTGTATCACGCATGGCACACAACTGACTGATGGAGCGAGAACAATAAAAGATTAGAAATTAAGAAGACTGAAGATAGCGATTGACATTGCATTTAGGTTTTTAAAGTCGAAACTTGACTGAAAAATGATGAGACCTTTCCGCCAATCTAGTACTGCGTTTACATTCATAAAATCTAGATAATATAGATGAAAGTGACTGAAGCTGAGATGACGGCTCAGGACCAATACTGGATAAGCGGCATCAAGTCTTTACGAATAACAGTAAATAATTATGAACAAAAACAAAACAAAAAAAAAATTATTTATAAGTTGTTTTTTTTTTGTTTTTTTGTTTTTTTACAATATGATTTCTAATTTTGAATATGCAAATCAGCAAGGACCACAAATTTGGACAAGATACAAGATAGATACAAACTAAGTCGAAGATGTGACCAGATTAAGTACAAACTCCTGGCAGTGCCTCTCTTTTTGGGAAGCTGCTGGGTTTATTGCCGATGTCTGAGGTGTTCCCAAGGCAGGAAGTGCCGAGGGGACTTCGGTAATTTTCATCAAAGTATTACCGTTACACTTTAAAATGAATGCGGGTTACATACGATTGCGAGATGGGGCCGCTGAAAAATACACCTGGGATTTTTTTACCGGAGAAAGTTTAAAAATATATATTAAGCTCAAGACCAAGGAGCCATTTCTACAGGCAGTACTTCTCCTCCGAGAAGAGGCTGTGTTTATCGTCCGGAGCCTGAGTTGTTCCCAAAAGAATTGTACCCATGGTGTTCAAACAATTTTGCCACGGTATTGCCGTTAAAACCAGCTTGCATTTGACCCTCTGTTACATTCGATTGTGAGGCGTGGAAGCTTGAAAATACTCCTGGCATTTTTACCGGGGGAGTTTAAAAATATATATTAAGCTCAAACCTAAGGACTTTATTTCTACAGACAGCACTTCTCCGAGAAGACGCTGGGTTTATTGCCTGGAGCCAGAGGTGTTTTCTAGAAGGGTTTTTACCGATGGAGATTTGTGCAATTTTGCCACGGTATTAGCGTTAAACCAACTTACAATTGACCCTGTGTTACATTCGATTGCGAGGTGTGGACGCTTGAAAATACAATATTTTAAACGGACTTCTCACGAAGGAAGGATGGGACAAAAAAATCGATTATTACGTGGGGAGTCCAGACACATGCGCCTCACCGCGAACATTTTCACGCTGATATGACACCGACCCAAACTTTCCAGATTTATTGGTCGAAAATACCGAAATTGTGGCTAAATGATTTTCTAAGCGTAGCTTAGATGTGGCACAAGGGCAAAATAATAGGGCACCCAGTGATGATCAAACTCACTATCCCGTCGTAATTGATCTCGCGCGACAAGCTTGTTAATCGTTACACCAATCGAGGTGCACTGAAATGAATTTTTAAGCCTAGCTTAGGTGTGGCACAAAGCCGATACTAAGGAGTGCCCAGTGAGTATCAAACTCACTCTTCAGTCGTAATTGATATATCCCGACAAAATTGTTAACCATTACATCACCAAAAGAGATGCCCATTTTAAAATGAATTTCTAAGGGTAGCTTAGGTGTTCAGGCATAAGGCCGAAAATTGTGACACCCAACTATAAAACTTTTCTTCAGTCGTAATTGATATATCCCGACAAGCTTGTTAACCATTACACCAATCGAGATGCCCTTAAATGAATTTCTAAGCGTAGCTTAGGTGTGGCACAAGGCCGAAAATGTGTGACATCCAGTGAGGATCAAACTCACTATTCAGTCGTAATTGATCTAGCCCGACAAGCTTGTTAACCATTACACCAATCGAGATTCCCTGAAATGAATTTCTAAAGGTAGCTCAGGTGTGGCACAAGGCCGAAAATGTGTGACATCCAGTGAGGATCAAACTCACTATTCAGTCGTAATTGATATAGCGCGGCAAGCTTGTTAGCCATTACACTACGCCGAGGTACCCTCACAGACCCAGCCTCTCTTGGTGCAATGGGGAAGGTCCTGTCGTGGGGATGAGGGAACAGTTCCGCTTAAAGAAGATCTCTTGCGTCAAGGAGGCTTTACAGTGAGGTTGTTCTGAGATAATTGGAAGCCCTCCCCCGATTCATTATTGGCGGTGTAAGTCTCAACATCATGAGATAAGCAGATGTCGCAATGTTGATAGCAAACACATCTGTGAAGCCGTCATTCCTCATTACGCGACCTAGAAATTTCAGCTGCTTGTTCCCAATGTTAAATACAAGTGTGACTGTATCTGTCTATATCTCTGAGATGAGGTATCATGATTACTTGCATTATTTACATTATTCGGGCTGTTATCCTCATCTTCATTGCCATATTCACAGCGTTTCGTTTCGCATCAAAAAAAAGTGATGGGAATTTTTCTTTAATATCTTATCTATATCTGCCATGAGGTGACCTTGATTACTTTTTTTATATTGTTCGAAAGATATATCTTCATTGCCTTATTCACAAAAATTCGCCCGTTTTACGCTCCGCCTTTCTTTTCTTGATTGGAATTTTGAAAAATATCTGTCTATATTCTTTTATGAGTATCATGATTATTTTTCATTTTTATATTGTTCAGACAGATATCATCTTTGATTGGCATATTCACAACGTTTCGCCCGTTTTACGCTCCGGTCTTCTTCAAAACATTTTCAAAATTTATATCTGTCTATATCTCTGAGATGAGGTATTATGATTACTTGCATTATTTACATTATTCGGACTGTTATCATCATCTTCATTGCCATATTCATTGACTGGAATCCGCAGTGGTGAACCAAAACTTAGAGAGATGATTTTAACAGAAATGACTAGACATTCGGAAATTGTGGCACGTGAAATTAGAACAATTTTGATTCATGCACGAAAAAAAAGGTTCAAAAAACAAATTCCAAATTTTTGAAGAAAGCCGGAACGTACAGCAAAAAAATGTTGTTAATATGGCAATGAAGATGTGGATAATCTGAATAATGTAAATAATGCAATAATCATAATAATTTTATGGTAAATATAATAGATATTTATAGAAAATTCCAATCTAACCTGAGGTTTTAAATATCTTTCATCCGAAACATTCTATAATTTGAAATCATTAAAAATTAGGATTTACAGTCCGAATAATGTAAGTAATTATAATACCTCATCTGGTGGTATATATAGACATTTTTTTGAAGAAAATGGATATCATTCAAACCTGATGTGTTAAAGTTAACAGCCGAAACGTTGTTTGGAACAATGAAGATGAAATAACAGTCCGAATCAATAAGTAATAAAATGTTTCTGTTTTTCATTTTTAGACTTTTAAATTCGTTCTTGTCCACATGTTCAAAGAATGATATCCTCAATAGGCTTCACTTAGTCATTTATCATTTCCTTTTTTTCAGTATCTACTTCATCTGTGAAAATTGAATTTGAAGAAATGTCTTTTTCATTTAATATTTCTTTTTTTTTTACTTTTTAATAATTTTAATAAATATTTTTTTTTCGTTTTTTATTACAAAATTCAATAAAATTATCGTCTGCTTTCCAGGCGACTATAGATGTAATCCCTTTCTAATGTTCATTACGCACAGAAAGAAAAAGTAGGGACTCGCAAAATATAGAAAGATAAACATAAATATATATATATATATATATATATATATATATATATATATATATATATATATATATATAAAGGACTTCTAAATATATTTGTGTAAAAATTGTTGATTATTGAGCTAACATTTCTTTTTGAATATATGTGTCCTGCGTGAACGAACTACAGGAATAAAAATGACAGATTAAAAAAAAAAGATAACTAGAGTGTGGATTTTTGAAGATGAATGAGTGAAAAAGAAAAAGTATTCTTGTTTAGTTTCACGAATGTCGGTCACACGGTCTCTGATCAAAAGCTTGCCAGTTCTGCCTTTTGTCAACCTTTTTTTTTTTTATTTTTTGAGTAGCTTGAAACAAACAGTCGACATTGAAATCGTCTCTAGATATGCTCCATTTTTGTCTTGGAGAAGATCGCATTATTATAACCACTAACTCACAAATAATATCAGTGCAAATACAGCTTTCCATACAGCCAACATACTAATACTAATTTTAACATTATCCGTTTCCTTATAAGGAAACATTCGGCATTCGTTGACTAAGCAGGACACTCGAGTTACAGATATTTTTTTTCGTGCCTTCAAACCGCCTCCATGCGTATAGAAAATGAATTCAGTAAATATAGTATACTATAGCTGACCACTCGTATTCGACGATACCCGGTTACGAGGGCGGCTAACCAATCCCTATTGAAGACGCTTGCTCAGACACATTTGTGTTTGTTCAACACCCACAGATCTCACCTGTGTTTTATACTTGCATAAATGCTGAGCAGACCTTAATTACAGTTTCTGGGAAATTGCCTGCTATCTAACGTGATCAACAATTTGAACAAGTCAGCACTTCTCTTAAAATATGAAGTTAAAAATGACTTGTAACTTCATGCTAGCACAGATAACGACGCCCCCCAAATGAAGTTCCGTCTGCCAAAATTCTACTCATCTAATTAATCGTCAATCAGAAATGTTTTTCAGGCGAAAAAATCCAAAGGTGGAGCACGCTGGGATCGAACCCTCCTTGTCTTCTTCCTGACAAATCGACCATGGTGAGATTCGAAACCGGGTTTCATTGTCAAAATGGCTCGGCCACGTGCAAATATACAAAAATAGAAAAGGTGTATGTAAAAAAAGGATGTTATTAAAATAGTATAGATGGCCACTCATATTCAGGGATTAACGTCTCAAGTGGTGGCTATCAATCCCTATTTTTTTCTAATGATTGGTCTATTTTAAACAACATTGAACATTGTCCATAGTGTTAGATGCGAAACCGGATTGTATGACAAAATGCAAACGTTCTAACGACTCAGCCACGTGAAAAATTGCGTCGCAAGCCGGGATCGTTTCTTCATGCCAATATTGACCCTGACAAATCATCATTACTTTTATTCGAAACCATGAAAATTTGGTTGATTTTTTTTTTTTTTTTAACCACATCAATTTTTTTTTTACGTTTAACAATTGTTTGAATTTACAATCAAAAAAAAAAAAAAAAAATTTATTTTTTTGGTTGAAGATTAAATTGAAAAAAAAAGGATACCAGAAAAGGCATTATCAATTTTTGGAAAATGGTCGAAATGGCAAGATCTCTTGTTTATTATATTAACAAAAAGATACGCAAATGACACTGACAAGGCAGTAAAAGAAAACGGGAAAAAAGGACTAACAATCAACTGCCAGAAGACAGGATGTATGGTCGCCATTAAAATAAAGATCCCAAGATGCGAGCTATGAATTGAAGATGTCAACATCAAGCAAGTACATAAGTTTAAATATCTGGGAAGAGTAACACCGAAATCCGAAGAGGACCGATAATAATCCAGACCCTTCATTGGATTTAATCACGTAATTATGTCCCCACAAACATGTATATGCCCAAAAGCTGAGTATCATCTACCATGTATTCAACTGTGAAAGCAGAATAACATATCATATTTTTATTAATTCAAAGCTTCCTAAAAAATTAAATTTCGGCATTAAATGACCCATGAGGATGTTGTTATGCCGTTAAACAGAAAAATCAGTAAATCAGAAAAATCAAAACGCATCAAAATCTGGCATTTGAATAAAAAATATGTCCAGTTCAAAAAAAATTTCTTGATAGATCTAAAATAATATAAAAAAAAAATTGTTTTATAAATGACAGGTCAGGATTTAAATTATATATAACGTTATGGTCCGGTTCCTTGTACCACGGTGAAAGTCCAAGGTAGAACCAATAAAGAAGAACTCGAAGGCGGAGATGGAATAACACAGATATATTACAAACAGGAATATATACAGAGAAGTAGAAAGTGTTAGTACGAACAATCAGGTTTAGTAGTAATTGTCTGAACTCGACTGTTTCGGACTGCCTCTGACTCGACTGACTGACTCGCTCGCTCTGACTGACTGACTGACAGACTCCTGACGGACTTCACTCCAGACTTCAGACTGAACTCACTCCAGACTTCAGACTGAACGTTATTTAGTCACCCCACCACAAAGGCATCATGTGTCACAAGGCCGGTTTAATGTGGGATCTCCGAGCCCGTGGGATCTCCGAGCCCGTGGGATTTCATTTTTAACCCGTGGGCTCCTTCAAAAATATG